TTATACCCATATAAAATGTACCTAGGGCTTGTGTTGGATGAATCTGGGCAAAACGGTGCCTTGATCTTAAAGAAAATATATGCTTGGACTTGGACGTTTATTTCCCTTGATTGTTCCAATTTTACACTGAGGGCTGTGAAAATATTTACAGACCCCTCACATCCCGGACATAAACTGTTTCAACTCCTTTCCTCAAAATGACACTACAGAGCACTGCACACCAGAACAACTACACACAAGGACATTTTTTCCCCGAATGCCATCACTCTGCTAAACAAACAATTCCCTCAACACTGTCCAACTATTTACTAAGTCTGAACTACTATTACTGTTAATCTTCTCATCACTCCTTGTCACCCATCCCCTCCCACTTGTGACTGTATGACTGTAACTTTGTCGCTTGTATCCTTACAATTTATATTGACTGTTTCTTAGTATGATTTGATTGCTTATTGTACCCTATGACTATCATTAAGTGATATCATTAATTACCTTATGATTCTCGACTCTTGACGAATGTATCTTTTCTTTTATGTATATTGAGAGTATTTACACCAAGACAAATTCCTTGTGTGTCCAATCACACTTGGCCAATAAAGTATTCCATTCTATTACACCCCCACCATCCAATCAGAGCTGAAGAAGCTTCCTGGGTAAGAAGTGAAATGCCTTCAGAGAGAAAAAAGAAAGTCCCGTTGCCTCCTGAAAAAAGCACCTTTGGGCTAAACCAAAGATACTGTAGGTCTAGAAGCTAGCTGAAATCTATTGAAAGGTGAGTGTAATGTTTTGAGTAGAAGAGTATTTTAAATCATGACGTTTTATTTTTGAAATATTTCTATCGTTCTCTACAAAATTAATGCAAATAAAGGATTACTACTGAGTTGAAAAATGTTAGGTAGATTGACAGGCCTAATTTTTAAATAACTAATAGATCAGACATACCCAGAATTCACCTCAGTGGGCAATCATTAATATCAAAAGAAAAATCCCACAGAATGGGATGGGAGGTAACTTAAAACACAAGAGAAAGGGAAACAGTTAAGAAGCCTTGTTAAAAATATGAAGCCACAAGGCCATACATTCAGTCCTATATTCAAATTTAAATTAAAGCTGGATGGTGTTGCAACTGGAAGACTAGATAGGGAAATTTGATTGAGCAAATAAATTATATGCTAATATCACCCCAACTTTTATAGATTCCATACACTCTCTTCCAAAATTTCACATTAATGAGATGTATAAAACTTATATGTTCTCTACCAGTATGAAATTTTTTTTTTGCTAGCTTCAGAAAATATAGTAACACATATAAGGAAGTCAAGCTAAAAGAATTTATTGCCAACAATTTTTGCTATAGAAAAAGACACAAATGGTATTTATACTATGAATTTCTTCAGTGAGAATTAAAAAGCTTAAGTGAAATCCTCTATATTAATTATTGATTTGTTAGATTTCCTATCTTTCTTCCAAATGTTCAAAATTGCTTCTGTGGGAATTCATTTCATCCCCCAAACAATTGTGAGGCATATCTAGTTGAGATGGAATAACTCACCCTGTCATCCTAATGTCATCCTAAAGTTTTAAGAGATAAGGATGGATGAGAACATGTCGAAATTCAAATGTAGCCTTTGACATTTTCCCCTGGTGTATTTTTCTACTCATTTAGTTTTAATTTGTTTTAGTCAATTAAGATGCAAGAGAATTTGGAGAACCATAAGTGTGAACCCATTAAAATTTTAAATAAATTAATTGTAACATGATTACTTAATTCTATTTTTTTTCTCTGCCTGATATCTTTCTCTCTTTGTTGTGGCATTGTTCCTTTTAAAATCTGTCCTCCACCATATGGTCAAAAGGTGCGTTTCTTGATCTCATGAAAGTTCCATGCTCCAAATTTCCAAATTTTATTGAATTTATTTCCAGGTATGTGATATTTTTGAAATGCTAACAGCACTTAACCTATGGTAAAAAAAAAAAAAAACCCGAGACGGTACCAGATCTGAAATTTCAAACATTATATTGGAGAAAAAGAACTACTTTCCATGCTGATTTTTACTTATCAGGTCATTATCTTTCTTTCCTCTGAACTTTCAGCGCTCTATTTATTTTGGTGGTTTTTTTTAAAAAAATATTCTCCTTAAATAAATAGCAACTCATGGTATTATTTGATAAGCAGCTGCAGACCTCAGTCATTTTTCTGCAGTAAGACACATACACACAGAGTCTGTAGAGATTTTCAGTCAACTGGACTTGAAGAAAGAGCTGAAGAAGCTTCTTGGATGGGAAGTGAAATGTCTTCAAAAGAAAACAAAAACAGGGACTTCCGGTTTGAGTTTCTTCGGCGACAGACCGAAACCTCGTCACTCCGAGGCTTCGATCCGTGCTCGCCACTGGAGTGCCCCGAGCCGGCTGGTTTTGGGGCTAAGCCACCCCGTAGAGGTGGTGAAGAGGAGGGAGACTGCCTGCAGGGTTGAGGAGGGCCGCATCTCTCCTCCCCAGCTAGCCATTACTGCCTGGAATTAAGGAATGGAACTGTAATTAAAAGGAACTTACAGTGAAATTTTAACAAGATTCCTCAAAGATACATTTTAATGGAAACTTGGTAACAAAATAATAGAACCCCAGGAAGAGAAAGTGGAAAAAATAAGCAAGTAGAAACAGCCTTGGATTATTTGGATTACTTGGTGATTTTTGGTTCTTGCATCTAGATGACTAAAATTAACTGGGTGGTTGTTTAAAAGTTTTTGAAATGGTATCACTCTAAGAAGAACTGAAAATGGAACTTAAAAATGGAAAGAAGACGCACAAGAAGGGAGAAGTTCTTTTGGCTTTGTGTTTCAATTCTTAGAAATGGAGATCTGGAACTATGAGAAGCAACAAGAAACGCTTGCAGAACAAGAAGATTGGGACAAAGAAGAAGCCATCTTTAATGATCAAATAATTTTAAGTGGGGGGAAAAAAGAAAAGGGGGGAAAGAGAGTGAAAGATTTAAGATTAGAAAAAACAAGCAAAAAAAGAACAATTTGAAAGATAAGTATAATATTAGAAAGCAACAGAAGAGGGGATTACAGATGAGAGAGTTAGAAGTAGAGAGACGAGGGGGTAAAAAGGGGAGGGGGAAGAAGAGGGGGAAGAAGGCAAGGAAAAGAAGCTGTAAAAGACAGAAACAAGAAATGGAGAAACAGGGGAAAGATATAAGGATTGTAACCATAAGTTTGTTTAGAGATAATGGTGAAAATTTAACTGTAAAAGGGATTCTGCAAAGGTACATAAGATAGCTTTGTTATATTACAAATAGAAATAATTTTAGAAAATATGATGATGGATAAAATATTTATTGTAATGCAGTGGGATGTTTGTTAATAAATAAATGAATTAAAATGATTGAGAGAATTAAAAGGGAACATTTTTAATTATTAATAATGATTTATAAAAACATAAGTAAGAAATATGGAAAAAAAAAGAATTAACTATGGAAAGTTTATAAGTGTTCCTAAGGAAGTATGATAATCAATTGAAAAGAAATGTTAAAGATGTTAATATTTTAATGCATATTAATGATAGAATTGAATTGGAATGGAATGTGTTTTATTTACATATATATATGATTTTTTCTTTTTAAGAATATATTGTCTATTTTAAGAATGTACCAAGCAGAATTTGATTGGAAGTTATGTTTTATATTGAATGCTATAATCTTAAAGCTATACATTGACGCTTAAATAAGAGTATGAATAGATAAAATTAAAGGATATAAAGGTGTCATATTCTAATTGGTAACTACAGGGAAAAATTTGCTTAATAAGAAAAGATAATGTGAAATTGTAACAGGGCAGACAAAAGTATAAATATAATGATTTGAATTGAGATAATTAAAAGAAAGTTGAGAAAATTAGAAGAGGGGAAAAACTATGTAGAAAATATAAAATGGCAATAAGATATGGAATAGAATATAAAAATGAGCATGAAATTGAGTTTTGTGTCTGTCTGAAGAAGTGATAACCTAGGACCATGCTATTTTCAAAAAAGATGTTTTATTTGTATTTTGTTTTTGTGAAAACCCAAATAAAATTTTCAAAAAAAGAAAACAAAAGAAAACAAAAACAAAAAGTCCAGTTGCCTCCTGAAAAAGCACCTTTGGGAACAACCATGACCTGGAGGACTGAAAATCTCTACAGACTTTTAGCTGTGTAATTCGGGATGAACACCCTTTTAATGATGTGGGAATAGGAATGGATTTCCAAAGGAAAAAAAAATGCAGATGATAGGAACCAGGAACACTACTCAGGTGACCCTGAGGATACAGATAAATCTCCAAGTGCTTCAACAACACTCTACAAGGATGCAAATTGCCAGCTTTCTGCAAGGAATGTACATCCTTCCATTCCCCACTATCCTGTCAGAGCTGAAGAAGCTTCTTGGATAAGAAGCAAAACGTCTTCAAAGAAAAAACAAGAAAGTCCAGTTGCCTCCTGAAAGTGTACCTTTAGGACATACACACAGAGAACTGTATCTTTGTGTGCATATTGCCCTTTGTGTTAGTTGTGTCAGATGCCTGGGAATCTTTTCTTTTCCCACCTCTGTGGCTCTAATACAACTGGTTGTTATTCTCGGTTGATTGACAGGGGCTTCCTTTGGAACCTTGATTGTGGCTGCTCCTGAGTGATTGCTTTATTGCTGTTCTCCCAAAGAATGGCTGATCCATGCCCTACCAAGAAAGTAACACTAGATGGCATACCTATCAGACTTTTCCATACTTCTGACTACTTCCACGGAGCTTAATAATTATTGGTAGAGTAACAGTTGCAGATTCAGTTCAGAAATAGAAATATAGGTACAATGTACACAGACTATTGGACAATAAATTATAGAAACATGGGAAGCCATTCCAAAACTGTTGACATCGTTTGACGAAAGTTCTCCATGGCTTCTAACAAAGGGTCCTTCCTCTTGAATGAAGCTGTGACTTGCAATGCAAACCCTTCACCAGTCAATTTCCAAATCTATTGAGGGCTACTTGAAAACTACCTTCAAGTGCTTTTATGTTATTTAGGGAGTGTCAAAACTTTCCCAAAGATGTCTTCTCTGTATTTTATTGCTTCTTGCATGTCCATATTGTGCCAAATGCAGCTCAGTGTTTGATACCAAATGGAGTATTGAAGTGCAAGCAGATCTGAAACTAAAGATGGCAGGCCTTCCCAACAAGATTCTTTTTTTTATGGGCATGGCAGCTGAGCACGCAGAAAACAACGTAAGAATTCCCTAAATGCAAGCGGTTCTCCAATTATATGTAATTTGTCACAGTACTTTTGCAGTGATGTTCTGAAGGACATTGTAATTAAAAAGTCCTATAAGATTTGGTACAGGAATAAGTTAACTACTCTTAATTCTCTGCTACTATTTCAAGGAATGCAACATGACTTTTTCCTAATAAAGACAAATTTCTCATAAACTGGGTAGGTGAATGAGAAAAAGTAGCTGAAATATATATTATCAGAGGGTGATAAGATGCTTCTTTGTGATGTCACTGCTGCCATAGAAACTATATGTGCACACAAGTGAAAATGACATCTGGCAGCAGAAGAGCATGGAAAGTTGAGAGAGGAGGCAACATCTTCGGTCTGGCAGGGTCATCAAAGCAGTTCAGCTGATAAAGAACAACCGTATAGTCTTAGGTACATTTCCACTTCCAAGCCTCAGAAGATGTCTCAGGAAGTTGATTGGCTACACAGCCAAGCAGGTGTGTGTAAGGTCGATCTCTATAATCCTGGAGGAGGAAAGGACCAGGAACGCAAAGTGATTTGTTTTGTCGATGTTTCCAGCCTGAACATTAAGCAAACAGATGATACAGATAAAGATGCTGCTGGCCAGTCCAAAAGCAGTGAATCTGCCACAGGACTTGATCTGGGGAAAATGCAGGACAAAGAGGTCATAGTAATCAAGGACAGTGACTCACCAGAACAATCTAAGACAGAAGGAGCCGTTTGTCTGTTCAAACAAGGTTCAACCGAAGAGCTTAATGTTGTGTCCTGGCTTTTTGATGACCTGCAAAAATATGCATGTGGATTTCAGCATGCACTAACCCCTTCATCTGCTCCTCCTGCACAAAAGCCATCGGCAGCGGACAAGATGTCCCAGAATAACAACAACACAGCTTTCAAAGCTTCTGAAAGTCAAAAAGCACCATCAGATGAAGTAGCATGCACTGTCCAAAAGCTGTGTACTTTGGTTATGCAGATGGCAAGCAAAGAGATCTCTGAAAATTTGGAAGATGCCGCCAGCAAATGCATACGCCAGGCAATTTATGCTACTAAAGACGGGAAAGCTCTCAATCCCTCTGGTTCGGTAAGTAAGGTTGCATCCAAGATGGTGAATGAGATTATGGAAAATGCTCAGGATGCCAATAAAGAAAAGAAAGAGGAGGGTAAAGGACTCCCCAAGAAAACATCGCTTTTTTATGGTGAGTTATGTTCCAACCAAAGCGAATCATCACCAGATGAAGAAGGAAAATCAACACATGCCCACTTGATACATCCAAGAAAACAGACTTGCAATGATGGTTCTTTTAACAAAGGGCTAATGGTATATGCAAACAAAAATGCTAAAGATATGACATTTTCATTTGTGAATGCCACCAAGATACACAAAAGGCCACCACTCCCAGCCTGTGTGATTCTGAAGAGAGTGTTTCTCAAACACACAAAGGATGTCATATCGGATTTAATCGACTCTACCATGAAAAATCTGCATAATGTCACCGGAGTCCTCATGACAGACTCAGATTTTGTTACTATGGTGAAGAAAAACCTCTTCAATGCGGGAACTCAGAAGTCAACTGAGATTTTAGAAGCAATGGTATTAAGAATGTATAACGCTTTGATGTCAGATAATAAGGACAGAGGGCATAGTCTTGTATACTCTTTATTGAAAACAGGATGTTCGTTAGACCCCAATTCTCCAAATATGCATTTTGCATCGTTGAAGGGTGGGGTCCATATGAGGGAAAAGGTAAGGCAAGATGGGCAGTCATCAGCACAAAAAGTAGGTGAAACAATAATTAAGGATGGAATTAGCATGTTGAGATCAAGAGCAGGAGGCAAAGGTCCAGAGAGGGGATGTCATGATAAGAGGTCAGAAAAAAGTAACTCGACTACTGAGTTTCTAGCAAAAGACCTCATTTTGACAGCTTTAATGTTGATACAACAACATCTCTTAACTCAGCACAAAGAGCCTGTTTGTGAGTCAAATACGTCTTCATTTGGATATTATGGAGGTAAACATGGTTCTAAATCTCATAGTTCCAGGAGTGATCCACAGCAGCAAGAATACCAGAGGGGGGAAATACAAAGTGCCCTTCTATCAATCATCCAGAAGGTCCTACAAGAGGCTGGTTTCAATGTAGATGAGTGTGAAATAAGCAAGAATCCCAAGTCAAACTCGTATGATGATAGATCTAGTAGAAAGCCCACATCCAAACAGGGTAGTTCAGATGTGGATTGTGAGAATATGGAGCAGATAAATAAGAAATTCATTGATCAGCTGATGGAATCTGTGATGAAGCTCTGTATGTACATGACTAAAAGCCCCGATTTTGTTGTTGAAGATTACTCTGACGAGCAAGGCACATACATCACAGCAAGAAACAAAGGCATGTCAACTCCAGATTCAATGTTATCCCAGAAACCTCCACGAACTAATATTGGAAAACCACTTGTACCTGCTGGCTCTGAGGTGATAGTAAACAACCAAAGCTCCAACTGCAGCTCACAGAACAGAGAACTCCAGGCTGTCCTCCAGTGGATGGCTGCTTCTCATTTCCAAGTGCCCAATCTCACTTTCATGAATGAGAACGATGACGAGCTGAAGAAGCTTCCACAACTGGCTGACAAAGCAGCCAAAAAAGGTGCAAGTGTGGGGGACATTTTGCAGGAGGTAATGAAGTATTTCGAGAAACAACAGGTTGATGCCGCTGTGGGAAATATGCCTCGTTGCGGACTACTTGACTGGTTGCTTGCTAATCTGTAGGCAAGTAACAACACCTCCCTCTCATTGCTTCCACCCAGCAAAGTTCCATCTTACTTGTAAGATGGAACAACAATACAGCTCATTTTCCATGGACAGCAGTTCCACAGGCTGTGACACACAAGCTGGGCAAAATCACCAATAAAAAAATACAAATGTCAACTGTTACTAATTTGTTTATTATTTTTTATGTAGATATTATAAATAAGTTACAAGAGTAAAAATAAATCCTAAAAGTATGTTTTTAATGGATTGTTATCAAAGTAGTTGGCATACTGATAGTATCATCTTTGATTTCTTTTTTGTTTAAAGGGCATTGTTAAAATACGTCTACTTTAAGTCTAATTAGAGTTCCTTTTCTCTTTCTTCATTACTAACTCTAGCAAATAATTCAAAGTTGGATGTTGACATTGTACTTGCTAAACCTTTTTTTGATATTTCAAATTTTTATTAATCCAAATCAATTAAACTTTAACATCTTTATGAAAATAATTATGCTAATATATTTATTGATATGTAGTCACTCCATTGGTCCATTGTTCTAAAATTAATGAAATATGGTCATTCTTGCTGATGACCTAGAACTGTTGTGAAAAGTTTCATGTGTATTTACATGTAGGCAAACCCTGTCTGTCCACCTCTCTTAATACAGAGACACATTGCTGTACTGATTTGTCTTTGTTAAGTTTAATTTCACTTTTATTCCTCCTCCCCCTTGTTATTTTATTAAATGACTGTAGTTTAAAAAAACCAATAATAGTACTACTGTTAGCAAATATAGAGGGATAGATGTTTTAATCAACAGCATAAATTGTTATGATTGGTTTCTTCTGAAAAGTTTTTCACCCCCAATAATTTTACGTACACTTCTGCAAAATTTGCCATGTCACTAAATCATAAAATCCCTTCTATTTTTCTGATATTGGGTTGTTTACTGTTTGTTATCATTAATTCATCCAAAGTTGTGTTTATGCTTGTATAAATAACTGGATTTTACCAAGCACAAGAATGCAGGCATTTGCAGTTAGATTATTTGAACAATAATGTTCTCTATTGCCAATTTTTATTACTTTGATTAAAGATACAAATATATAGGAACCATGAGAATGGCTCAAGTGTTACAGGTGATTAGTCAATACTGCCTTCTTTGTTAATCTTTTAAAAACACAACTAACTGAGGAGGTTTTTCACATAGGTGTAAAAGACACCCAACCAACTTGCTCTATCACAATTCTTGAACTGAAGGGAGCTACTCTGAATGATTATATCACACTGTATGCAGTCTATATCTCATTACTGTTAAATGCATGCCTTATTTGTTCAAAGATGAATTAAAGAAGGCTTGAGAATCTGAACACTAATGATTGCCCTTAGTTCTTCTTTCACTACAATACCACTGTAACTTTAACTGTTATACCAGGAAAATATGCCAAAGAAAGTTTGAATATTCAGCCGACAGTACTAAACAATGGACATTTTTAGAAATTAATCCCGTTAACAGAGTACAGGTACAGTTAAGATCACAGTCTCTGTGTAAATTAACTGAGCGCTTAAAAAATTAATGTTAAAGGTTAAAGCATAATAATTGGCACATTGTTTTCCAAGTTTTTCCAGCTAAATATGTACTAGCTAAGTATGACTACATGCATCAATTCTGTGTGATCATCCTACTTTCCATGGTTAAAAAAAGAAAAAATAATAATTTTATCTTCTAGAAAACACAAATTCACAAACTTTATACTATACATTGTTTATAATAGACCATAAAAGGAATACACTTCTAGAAGATGTTATATGTGTGTTTGCAAGAGTCTGCTGTCCCTTTAGCATTTAGAACCTCTGGCTTGTTGTGAGAGATTGCACACACAAAAGCAGTCATGCAATAATATTTTGACAAAACAACAACAACAACCAATGCATATGAACACAAAAAGGAAAGTCGCATCCCAGTCCTTCACAAGGGTTTTGGGTTACAGGTAGACATACACACTCCCCACAATCCATGCAGCCTCACCTGAGTAGCTGCAGACTGACAGGGAAACGAAGATGATGAGGACACAACAGGGAGGTCAGACTGGACAGCCGCCACAGTGGTAGCAGGCGTAAAAATCAGCTGTGAAGGCAGGAAAAAGAAAATTGAAAGCCACACAAAGCACACACACATATCTATAGGCAGTCCTAGGCTTACATTTAGTGACCATTCAAAGTTATAACGGCAGTGAAAAAAAAGTGACCCGTGATCGTTTTTCACACTTATGACTGTTGCAGCATCTCCAGGGTCACGTGATCAAAATTCACAAGTTTGGCAACTGACTCATATTTATGACACTTGGAGTTTGCCGGGGTCATGGGACCATCCTTTGGCCACCCTCTGACAAGCAAAGTCAGTGGGGAAGCCACGTTCACTTTACACCAACAATAACAACTGCAGCGACTCACTAAACAACTGTGGCAAGGAAGGTCGTAAAAAGGGGCAAAACTCACTTAACAAATGTTTCGCTTAGCAACAGAAAATTTGGGCTCCATTGTGGTCATAAGTTGAGGACTACCTGTAGTCTGAAAGCAAACTGGTGCATCTTTTCCTTTAGTACAAGACCTACAAAAATTTCTTCTAACGTCTTAAAAAGAACCCTCAGACCTTTTGAGTTGCTTTGCTATTTCATCTCTTTGAAGAAGAATTTCTGCAGCCTGAGGCTTTCCCCAAAACAACATAATTACATGCTGTTCTTTACTGGTATTCGAAAGTTACAAAAAAAGAAAGTGTCAAATAGACATAAACACCTGGCCAACCTTGGCTGATCTCAAAAATAGGTACTTGGTTGAGACACCACTAGGAAATATCAGAGTTGAGAACTAGGTGGGAAATCAAAGAAATCTCCCAAAAGAAGACAAGATCAAATCATTTCCATAGTCTTATCAAGAAAACATGGAAATTGGTCCGTCCCTGAGTTTTTTTCCCCCCATTAAGTCATAATTTACTTTCTTCATTTAAGTTGAGGCTAAAACCTCCACCAAACTAAATATCAATTTGATTAAAGGTATCTAGCATTTCATCTTAGCCTAGATTTGGATCTACCTCAACAATGAAATTCAAAACCTAGCTATGGACAAATTAGAAATAAATGGTTAATGCAACAAATATGTAAAATTTAAAAATGTGAACAGTAGCTGTAGTAAGGGAGAAAGGAAGCCATACTAAAACTTAGAAAAATGAAAATTCTTTCATTGTGCTGGGGAGCTGGGGAGCGGAGGGAGTCCTTAACAAGTTGCTGTTTGTATCAGAAAATCAGAGTTGGAAGATTTTGGCACGATAGATCTCTGGCTGAACAGAGCAATCTAAAAGTTACAAAAAGAGACACAGATGCTTCTTCTATACCTATCCAAGACATTACTAGGAATAGGAGTATTCCTATAATAATAGGAATGATAGAAAACACCTCTCCAAACACGTCAAACGTAAGAGACTATAAAATTAGAGATGCCACTGTTTGTGGAGTCAAAGACTATTTATTTATTTATAAAATGTATAAGCTGCCCATCTTATCTCGAGGTAACTCTGGGCAATTACAATCATAAAAAAATAGAACTATATAAGTTAAAAACATAAACAAGTTAATGCAAAATCCAAAACATTACGGCCAATTAAAAGATGGGCAGGGCGAGAGCAGGATGGGGGAGGAGGTGGCATCTGTTGTTAATCGATCAACCACCTCCATTGTGATATTCCCTTATTGGAACCCCAAGCTAACTAGAGAGACAGTAGGCTCTTCCAGAAGGTCAGAGGGTGGGAACTGACCTCACACCTGGGGCCAAGATATTCCACAGAGCAGCTGCAGAACATCTCTTGGATCCTACCAGTCGGAATAGTCAGGCTGACAGGGCACGCAATATGTCTCCCTGCCAGCACAGGTGGGGCGGGCCAATCCCAGTGGGATGAGACAGTCCCTCAAGTAGCCTGGATACACAAGGGCTTTAAACATGATTACTAACACCTTGAATTGCATCTGGGAGCAAACCAGGCAATCAATGGAACGGTGGTGTTACATGGGTCATTCTTGGAGGCCCAGGAAATGCCTGTGAGGCCGCACACTACCCCACTGTAGCCTCTGAATGCCCTTCAAGGGTAGCCCCATAGAGAGCGCAAGTGCACTTAACAACATGCAGCCAGAAGCCATACACGGACAGGACAAGACAAAAACGCCCCAAAGGGCAACATTAAATTGGCAAGACTCACCATCTGAGCTCGGAGATACATCTGAGCCTGACTGGCAGTCAGATTAGGAGATGTGCTCCCTAGCAACATGGTTTGCTGCGTCAGACTGCTGCTGCTAGTGTTGGAGGTCTGTGAACGGCTTATTAGCTGTGCAGGTGTAGGAGAAGCAGAAAGATTAATCTAGGGAAGAAAAATAAATTATCATTAACTACCTTTAGACCACTCATCTAAAGGCAGCCCCACACAACAATTCCATTCAAATGTCTGTTCTACCAAAATCATGAGAACAGATCGTCTAGTCTGTTGAAGAGAAGGACCAGGGGAGACATGATAGCAGTGATCCAATATTTGAGGGGAGGAGAGGAGGAGGGGGTCAAGCTATTTTCCAAAGCACCCGAAGGCCAGACAAGGAATAATGGATGGAAACTGATCAAGGAGAGATTCAACCTGGAAATAAGGAGAAATTTTCGGAGAGTGAGAACAATCAACCAATGGAACAGAAGTTGCCCTCGAAAGTTGTGGGAGCTTCACCACTGGAGGCTTTCAAGAAGAGACTGGACTGCCATTTGTCAGAAATGGTGTAGGGTCTCCTGCTTGGGTGAGGGGTTGGACTAGATGACCTACAAGATCCCTTCCAACTCTGATTATCTGTAATTAATTGAAGCTTTTCCCTCATTTTGTTATGGGACCAGTCAGGTGAATGGCATTTGTGGCAGCCTGCTCTCTCTTTTTTCTCTGTTAGAAAAACCTACTGCTTTTTTGAAAGATATCTCAGTAACATTCATATTAT